TTGCAAGCTTGGTGGAGATATCTCTTGTTATTGCCATTCCAATAATGATACTTTCATCTTGCTTTGTGCTCGTGCTTGCGACATGTCATGTGCATTGTCTATGCCTATTATTTGATCACATGACATGATTGCCATGATTTACTCTAGTGTGTTGCATCTTCGCTTGATAGTTTGCACGACTTGACCACTATGCTTGCTTGCGTTGTTGCATCACCAATGATTCATACTTGCTCATTTCATGCAGTTGATGGCATCCATTTCCATGCTTTGCACATGATTGCTATTACATGTTATCATATGTCTCCATATGTTGCCTCTCTTATGCTAGATGACTTGCCATGTATTGAGGGCAACAATGTTCTTAGTCTTGCTAATGAGATTGCCCCCATAGCATTCTTGCATATATTTGGAGATTTTGACATACTCCTTGTGAAGCTTGCTTGTCTTACTTCTTTGCACCATATATCTAGTGCCATGAATATAGCCATTGTTGCATCATATTGTTCATGCACTTGTTCTTCTAATGGTTATGTGCAAAAGAAGAGAACCATCATGATGGATGGTGTGTTTATCTACCATGTGCATATGTTTTTTGTTTTGTTGTGTTCATGTGTAGGATACTTGGACTTCGTGGTGTCGACTTCCACTTCACGTGAGTTGACCATTCCAGCTCTTGCGAGCGAGCCTCTTACATTCTACCACGACTCGCTTCTACACCACAATTCCTACCACTTCGGCACTGTGAAGAATGAACAAGGTCATGCCTTCAAGGTGACATCTTTCTTGAGCTTGGATATTGTGGATCATACTTCATGTGTTGCTTGCACCATTTGCACGCATGTTCGCGATATTGCTTTCACCCATGATTGCCACATTTCTATGCTTCATGACATATGCACCTTGTGTGTTGCATCCAATTCTTGGACTACTTGCTACTATCATATGGTTGGTTGCACCAATATCCTTGCTTCACATATGCCATGTCCCATTGTTTGTCACATGATTCACTTGATTGCCTCACACATGAAGAACAATTGCTCTTTCTATTGTGTTGAGTGCCACACTATTTTCACTACACCCTATGCACGTTATGTTTGGATTGTCTTGCACTTGACTCATGTGTTTAGACACTTCATTTTATTTGGTGTTGTGAATGATTCCTATGCCTACCATAGACCTTTCATTGAGCGCTTTGTGAATGCTTGCTATCAACTTGAGGTAGATGCTTATTCTCTTCTCACACATATTTGCATCACTACCTCACATTTGCATACTTGTCCCCATGATATCTTTGCTTGTGCTCGATTGATATGCTTACATGCCATGTCACAATCCTTCGTCAAACCATATGCTATGCTTGATGACGATACTTGTTTGGTGAATCACCACTTGAATGCTTGGTTTTGCACTAATGCTAACCACATTTGTTTTTCCAAGTGTTTGTTTTCCTTGCTCGTTTTGAAGGAATCCCAAGACGGTGCAACATTGGAGAGTGCCCATTGCGAGCTTGAAGGTGATGAGTACTTGGTGAACGTCCACTTCTTCACGGCGAAGCCATCTCTTTCCCATGGTGATTTGGTTTTCGATCCAAGGTCGGATCTTTCCCAAGGGGGGGGGGATGATGCAGAGCATCCTACGGACATCACCATGTCAAGAGTTCGTTTGGCAAGTGACACGTGCGACCTCTACTTCTCATACATAAAGGTGAATCTTCTCCTTTACACGTGTTCACTTGACCCCTTCGAGGATGGTATACTACTTGACACTTCTCCCGTGTGCATGCATAGGTATTGTCGAAGCTTCACGGATGTCGAGGAGGAGTGCAAGTGCCAAGGACCGACTACACCGCCCTCAAAGGAAGCGTGGAAGAGAAGACGGAAGAAAGGAGAAGAAGACGGAGCGGCTACTCGAGTCAGGCCGGACGTCCATCCGGATCATCCGGACCCAGCCGGATCATCCGGACCTCCCCCCAGATCATCCGGATAACTGCGCCCATGACAACCGAAGCTTCACCATGAAGCCGGGTCATCCGGACCTTCTCCTGGATCATCCGGACCCTCACCCGGATCATCCGGCCCTTGCCTGCGCACATGACTTGGGCCGAGGCCCGTGTACCCATTCGCCCCCTCCCTTACCCATTCGCCCCTTGGGCTATAAGTAGACCTCCTCCACCTCCTTTCTAGGAAAAAGCACAGGTTTAGCTCATTTGAGATAGAGCTTTGCTCATCCATACGGATCTACTCCTCGTGAGAGACCGCAGCCTCTTCGGAGAAGATCCATCTTGGATTCAAGACCCCCTCGTGGGAAGATCCGTCTAGGATACCATCAAGACCTCCTCTTGGAGATGAACTCTACCTTCTATCTTTCTCTTTGTTGTTCATGTACCTTGTGGATCTTGTGTGTTTGATTGTCTAGTGGATGTGTGATTGGACTTGTTCTTGAGTGTTTCCCCTTGTGATTTCTCTCCGTTCTTCCCCGTGTTCTTCGTGTTCCTCGTAGGGATCCGCTCCAATCATGAAAGATCGGCCTCTAGGGTTCTACCCTACATCAACAGGCATCCTCATGACCATCGTGTCGCATCGTACTTCACGACAAGGACTGTGGTGGCAGTGGAGGAGGAACAAGAAGCGGTGGAGACGGAGGTCGAAGAAGATGCGGTGGCGATGGTTGTAAGGGCGCCAGAGCTAGGACACGAAAGCATGCCAATCGAGCTGGACTCCGGCGAGGAAGAAGAGACGGTCGTGCAGTTCGAGGAGAAGAACAAGGCCAAGGGCACACCTGCCGCTCCAACCGCCTCCAGGGTTACCAAGGCTAAGATCTAAGACTATTGTGTAAGATTTACCCCCAATCCTCGTTACCCTTGTACTCAATCTAGATTGGGAACCTCAAATCCATCAGCCGAAGGTGATGATGCGAATGCCAATGAAGGGGCCGAAGGTCACCTTGCTGTTCTCTGATCTGCTGAATGTCGCCGCCGCTGTCGATGAGAGTGGGGAGAGGGGAGAGGAAGCGGCGAGGGTAATAACAGTCGGCGCTTCGGAAAGCAACCCGACTTCCCAAGCATGGCTCCTCGCATGCAGGCCCCGCCGCCCACGTGCATCATGTGGGCCTGCTATGGAGAAACTGCCAATTCCAGCGTTCCTAGGAGACAAACCAAAGGTGCTTTGAGTTTCGTGCTATGCAGGCCCAACAGAGAACACATGCAACCAAATGGGCCACAATCTTTTCACGCGGACTTGATTGCCCTATATGAAGACAACCGAACACGTCATAATTAAATCAAATCTTGTATACTCACAAACACATTAGTGCGTTAAACATTTTTTTCATTTATCATCCAAAACCCACACATGAGAGTGCAAGACTTACAAGACTTTGTTTACAGATTTGATACTTAATATGTGCAATGCTCATGCTTTGCATATATAAAGTAAAGGATTTTGTGAACAAGGGGATCTTTTTTATTGTCAAATCAATGTTGGAAGTCAAGTTAAAATACATTTTGTTAATGTGACATCCCTGTAAACAAAAACTTTCTAAACACATGATGAAACTTTTGTCATGGGTATAAATGGAGACTAGTGTTGGGACTTTTAAAAGGTTCAATATTCAAAACAAAAAACTTTGTACATTCAGAATTTTTTGCAAAAAGCTATGCTCTTTGTTACATGAATATGGCGGTATGGTACCTTTAATTATCAATAATCTAAACTGGTGCCAATTATATAATCACAATAGTTCATAGGATGTCACCCCTCTAGTTGAACTTCAAACAAAATAAGCAAAAGGAGACGGCCACCCACACCCTCACTCGCTGCCAGCTTCTGTGCCAAAACTACAGATGGACACCTGAGACAGCATCCGCCCAACGCACAAAAAGTTTACGCTGATACTTGTCCACGTTGTTACTGTTCACTGCTTATACTCTTGATATTGTACTTACTTCAAAGGGCTATCCCACTTAAACAAAACGTGTTGTATCATAAAACGTGAGTCACACCATACAGCAAGCCGACCATGTTGCAGCCAGAGGTTTGTACCTATCCATATTCATCTCACACATGGTCCGCATAAAACTAATATTCATGACATACCAACAAAACCAAACATCAGGTTTATAGAAGATTCAGTCTCCATATGAACAAAACCACACATGGACAAATAATAGAATAAAGCTGATATGAACCTTCCTCGCTTGCATAACTATCTATCCGCATCACTTATGCAGGCTTAAGCCTACCTCTCCATCTGCACGACCTCTATGGACAAGCCTACCTCCATCAGCATCATGAGCTCCTCTTAGCGAATTAACTGCAACAACTTAGGTGTGTAACCATCTGCTACTAAAAAAAAGAGGCTTTCTCTCTCTCTCAAAAAAAAGAGAGGCTTCCAGCACTTTCAATTTTATGGACACTGGCGGCTACTCTCAGCTAGGAGCAAAATACAATACCAAAAAGGTCAATTAAGTTAATCAGCAACTGATGCTGGCATGCTTCTTGGGACAGAGTGTTCCGGAGTTCATCAAATGAGTAATGCCATGTCATGATGCCTACTAACTGTGCTCCTTCATGAACATGCATGACAAATAATGATCTGAACCATCCCAACATCCCTCAACACTGAATTGTCAGCAAGCCAAATAAATCGGTTATACCATTACAGCATGTCCAGATCATAATGTGGCAATGCCATTACCACATGAAATGTTGCAACTGCACACTGGAAAAACTACATAACACTACAAAATATTCATGACAGATGCCAAATGCATGTCTAGGAGACATTCAGAGTGGCCTTCTCAAACCACAATAGCTAATTTAAAAAAGTTGAAACCGCCAACAATGAAAATAGTGACAATGCAATGTCTATCAAATGATGATGATATCCCAGAAACTCCACTTAATGAAGATGATGATCATGCCCCAGAAACTCCACCCAATGAAGATGCTGATGTCACACATGACAGGAACAGATTTGGCTAAAACAATGCAGATGATAATTCAAGATGTCATGCTAAAGTTCAAGATACATCCCCTCAAACAGGAGCACCATTCAGAGTGCCGACCATGCCACCAACTAAGTCCTTCCTTCGCCCGAAGGGATTTTTTGAAAACGTTCAAACGTTAAGGACTACAAAAAGGTCACTATAAACCATATACAGTCAAGCAAATGGAGGCACAATACAGCAAGCTAATGCAAGGCAATCATAAAAATGATTAATTAACTAAATGAAGTTAATTACTTGATACATGAAACCAAATTATAAACTAACAAAGGATATTGGATTCGCATCCCACCGCGGCCAGAACTGGGAACAACGGCACCCTGTAAAGTATGGTGCACAGCAGAAGCAGCGCTCACATCCTGCAAATCGCAGAAGTTTGAGAGATAAGAAAATAATAGCGGCATGCACATAAATAATTAAACCATCACAACCACTTACATCGAACTCAATAAAACAGACGGTGTTCCTGTCTTGACGCAACACTTTCATTTGTTTGAAACCAGGTTGTCTGTCATTTTTTGAAAAATATCAGATATGGTTAGTGCCAGTGTGCCACAACTGAAACCAAAGTGGGCTGCAGCAATGCACCCAATAAGCAGACAAATATCTACTTGAATTTTATACTTGAAAGGGTTGATTCTTACAGACTGAAGAGGCCCCGCAATTCCTCTTCAACAACAGTTTCACCAAGATTTCCAATGAAAAGGGTATTACAGGGAGGGTTATCTTTCATGTTCTGCAAAGCAAATTAGAAGGTTCAATCAACAATCTTATTTTCCAAAATCTTGAACAGTGAGAAAAGAGTGAAGAATGAAGATAGACTCGGACAATATTCTAATCAAGTACTGCGGCACATTTCTCATTTATCCCATGTGACATCTCGTCCATTCATCAAGTATCTAACGATCTTGATTTGGAATTTCATATGCCCACTAGATTGGCATTCACCAGAGACAGGCCAAGTCAGAATCATCTACAGAGAAGTATCGTATAATGTAACAGCAACTACGTCTTTACTGCACTATTCAAAACTGAAGAGTCTTATCCCAACCTATGTTTTTAAGGCGACGCCTTACCGCCTTAGGGAGGGGGGGCGCTTTGGCGCCTAGGCGACGCCTAGGCGGGCGCTTTGGACGCCTAGGCGCCCAAAGCGGTCGATTTTCCAAAGCGGAGGGGGAGCGCTTCGACGCCTAGGCGTCGCCTAGGCGTCGCCTTAGGGACGCTTTAAAAACATAGATCCCAACTGTCATTTCACTAGACCTAAATAATTTGTAAGTGACAAAGAAGACACTAAAATATACCACGGCACACATATAAATAGGTCATGACAAGATATAAGACCATAGAGTAGCAATACGTTAAATTCACCAAACAAATGTCGATAACGTGCGAGACCATCATGAAATATCTTAATAGTATTTCAAAACATAAGTACATACACTATTTGTAAATGTTTCATTCACTTCTCGACAGTTGAACTTCCCCTACAAGTCTGAGACCAGTGCAAGGGATCCAGTATTAATAAGATCAAGTGGGTGTAGGAGATTCCAGGAAACATGAACTATATAAGTCCATTAAAATCTTAGGAAGGTACTCAAGTGCATTGTTTTTAAGGCGTCCCTAAGATAGGAGCTCTCTCTGCTCTCTTCCTCTGGCGGCTGATGACTGGCTCCTCCACAGTCCCAACAGCTCAACAGCCGTCTATACCTCCAGTCAGAATGTGACTCTCGGTCTCTCCTCCCCTGCCCTCTTGTGCACTTGTGCTCCTTCGATTTAGGAATTCCTAGTGCCCTGCTTCGATCTGTGACTGGTTTTGTGTGCTTCGATTTGTAGTGCTATGCTGTGATTTATTGTGCTATGCATATGCTCTGCCATGTCTAAGACGCCGCCTTGCATTGCGCCTTAAGTGCTTAAAAGTGAGTGTTGTTTAGTACTGCAGGGACATGAGCCATGATTATCTGACTATTCTATGCAAGAAACAGTATCTCTTATTGGTAGGACTAGGGTTCCTACCGGGCCTTCGGCGTAGATTGTATGGGCAGGGAGGAGGGAGACGAGGGCGGGAGCTGGCGCGCCGGCGATGAGGCGCCGTCGCGGCTAGGGTTTAGGTGCGGCGGCGGTTGGCTGGTGGCGGCTAGGGTTCCGGCTCCTCAGGGAGCCGGGCAACAGAAGATGATAATATCTTTATTGCTTTCTCAAACGATGTCTTACAACTAGTATTTATAACTTTAGCCTAAGATAACTTTCCTAAAATAACTTGCCTAAGATAACTTGTGGGTCAAGCCCCTAATACTAATGCCCGGTGGGCCTCTTTCGGTTGTAGACCAAACCGGTCATAACACTTATGCAAAAAGCAAACTATACAGATTTCAGTAATCTATACTATAAAAAGACCCTAAGGGGTAGGTCCAACTAATCTCGGCCATCAAATCATGCCAATCCAATGATCTAAATTACTCCAATGGTAAGCACTCAACATGTTTAGCATGCAATTAATACCATACCAAATATCAATGTCAACGCAAATCACATAATTAACTCGCGAATAATATCCTACCTAAGATGTGCATGCAATTAATATACTGCCTAATATTAACGTGCATTACCCATATACATTTACTAGTAGACTCAAGAAAACAAGTGTAATAAGGAGAAGCAGCAAAATTATTAGGTCAGTGTACATGCTACAGCATATTAATAGACCTTTTCAGGATAGGGTGACAAAAAAGTCACAATCCAGGATAAACTAAATATCATGGAAAATGCATTTAGGGTGTGTTTGGTACTTTGGTTTTAGCCCAAGTCTGACTTGCCAGAAATTTGGTTAGCCAACTTTGGCCATGGTTTTCCTTGCCCATGGTTTGGCAAAAGTTGGCAAGAAAAATGAACTAGAGTGGGCAAAGGGGCATGGGCATGGCAAAATATAGGGAACGATCCAAACAAACACAAAAATTGTGGTCATTGCCAAAAAAATCGGTAACTATATTTTGAATACGGACCAAACAATTGCCTAAATCCAAATTGATTACCTGCACAGGAGCATATGCTGTTGGGCCTGGCAAAGGAGAAGGTGAAGCCATTGGTACCGTCGGCACAGGATAGCCAGCATAAGGATTATAAGGAGGCGGAGCTGCCATATAACTGAAGAAGACCCAAAAACAAGCATTATAGAAGACCAAAAAAATTCATTATAAAAGACCGACGAATGTATATAATTAGTTGGCAGAAAGAGCATAAACATACAAAAATTACCCTGCAGTTCCCCACATGGAAACAGCTGGTGGGGGTGGGTGGAATGGAGGAGGAGCATGCGCAGAATGAGTATAGTCTTCACCAGTTCGCAAGCGTTTACTTTGGTCCATAGCATTTGCATCAGTTCCCACACCTAACATAGGTTTTAATAAAGTGTTTCAACTTTCAACATATTATTCATATGCAAATACCAAAGCCTAGCAGTTGGTGTAACTAACAATTGAGAAAGATAGAATGAACTTAGATGATATCACATTTCTAGCTAAGTTTTTGCATCGAGGTTTAGCCGTGCAATCAGAAACTTCCAAAATCCAACGACCTTATTAGGTACAAAATTCAAAGTGTGTTCCCAACATTTAAAAAAACATGCAAATGGACATATCAAATTGGTATAATGCATTGAAGCTCTAACACTGATCCTGGCTGTGTGAGTTCTTTCTTCCATGATGAACTGTCAGCACCAGTCCTACATTATATCGGTCTTGCTTTTTTAGCGGGGAAATCGCGCTGGGCCGAGGAGAAAGAGGACTCAGCAGTAAGAGGATTGTACCATGAGAGGAGCACGGAGGTCAAGCCGCTTCAAATAATAGGTCGCAATATTAAATGTAGCAACATGAATAAGAAAAGACACAACAGGACATATAATTTAAAAAGAAAACGCAAATGATAAATCCCGAACGTTTGGATTTTAAGCATGGCAACCCGAACCATTTTCATGGCAACTTTAGTTCACACGAGGTTGGCAAACATGGCAATGTTCTGACAAAAGACAAACTGGGACAAAGTTGTCATGTTTTAAAAACTAAAGTTGTCACCTCGTGTCAACTAAAGTTAGACATGAAAAAATGTTCGGGGTGACATGCTCAAAATCCGAACGTTCAGGAATTATCGGGGTCCAAAAAAAATTAGATGCCTGCAAGTGGCCATGATTCCTCATTAGTTCACATGTTCACAGATGATGGGCAGAGTCATCTTCCACCGCACAGCTGTAGCACATAATTCTTGCATGCCAACACACAAAGCATCACTAGTTAGCTCCCACTCTACATTTAAACCACAGTTAGCACATAATGCTACCTCAAATTCACTCTATAGACTCTGACCCAAAAAGCGTACGTCTCCATCTAATGATCGACACATTATGCAACAGCCAGAAGAAAGCGTGAGAGGCATGGACAAAACGCACCTCTTTTGATGAATAGGTTCTTCTTGGCCATCTCGATGTGCAGCGCCGACTTGGTCTCCGCATCGAAGACCAGATCCTGCAGAGAGAACCTCCGGTCACATCCATCCAAAAAAAGGAAATGCGCGGCATCGATATAACAAGCCCATACAAAACCGAACCTGCAGCGCGGCCTTTGCGGCGATGGCGTGGTGCGCGTAGGAGAAGAGTGCGAACCCCATGGGCTGGTCGCCCTTGAAGTTGATCTGGGAAGCCTCGAATCCCGGAAGCCAGCGCAGCAGGTTATGCAGCTCCCGCTCCTTGACGTCCACGGGGAGCCCCATGATGAAGATGGTGCGGACCTCGTCAGAGCCGGGGCGGGCGGCGGCATCGGGTGCGCCTGGTACGGGGGGAGGCGGTGGGACGGCGGGAGGCGCGGGCACCGCCGCTTGGGGCGGCCACTGCTGGTGAAACGGGTGGATGCCGGCGCCTGCCATGGAGACGGCACGAACCCTAACAGGGGGCGGGGGAGATTGGGTTCTGGAGCTTGGCAGTGCAGAGGAGATGGGACATACGAAGGGACGCGGCTCCTCTACCGTGCCTCTTAGCACGGCACAGGTGCCGTGCCTTCTGCGTACGCGTGCAGACGCATTCACATGGGCCAGAATATGAGAATTCCCAAAAGCTAATCTGCCCAGCCCATTCATTAGATGTATCATAGTATGTCTCAACTGATTAACTTTCTTTTTTGCAGGAACTGATTAACTATATTTGTCTTAAAAACTGATTAACTATACCCCGCTCAAAAAAGAACTGATCAACTATGAACCCCTAAAAAATTAATTAGCTATAAAAAAAGCATTAACTAGTATAATTAATACATGACCAACACTGTCAAATGAAAATGAACTTATATAAGAAAAAATATTTTGCTAAATAGTATTGGTCATATTTTACACTGACCGGATTTAAATCAATTTGATTGGTATTTTTTTTGTCTTTATTCCATAGTACATGTAACTAGCACATTCGTCGACTACACACAACTATAGTTATATGCCAATCGATCGTGCGCAACTGCAGTGGTACGTCCGTGCAAGGATGTAAGCGGATGATGTCCGTAAGTTCGTGACGGTCCACCACGTGACACATGTGGTAAGCAATCCAAACAATTTCAAAAGTTTGTGACGGTCCACGAACAAAAATATAATTAAACTAACATAATTATTAAAGTAATGAACATTGGTGCAGTTTTTGCTTTGTGGACATTCGGATGACGTCTGCTTCCATCGCTAGTGCACATGCATAGGTCCTAGTCCCTCCGTAAAGAAATATAAGAGTGTTTAAATCACTAAATTTTCTTATATTTCTTTACGGAAGGTGTACTTAACTACCGTTAAAGATTGCTACACTGAATCAAAGCATGCACCAAGCCGTCGCTGAGGATGGCCACCCTGGATCCCTTTGGTCGGCGACCGCTTCACCAATGTCGCCGTCGAGCACCGCCGCCCTAGATCCCTCCGTTCATCGTCATCGTTGCCTGACCCGCTATCGGAGTTGTCGGAGTCGGGTTTGGGGCGCCGGAAGGTGGTGGCGTCGCGGCAGGGCTTCTCGGCGGCCGCCTGACCAGTTGTTGGAGCACGGCTTAAATAACCGTGACCAGGCCATGCGAAGGGTCGGTCACCCGCTTCAATGCGGTGCAGCAGTCGGAGTTGGTTCCTTGGGAACCTGCCTCCGCATTGAAGCGGCGGCTGCTGATCAGAAGCGGGCTTAGGACCGGTCGGAGTTGGTTCATTTTACAGTGTTGGTCATGTATTAATTGTACTAGTTAATTACCTTTTTATAGTTAATTAGTTTTTTAGGGGTTTATAGTTGATCAGTTTTTTTCGAGCGGGATATAGTTACGTGTGATACATCTCATCTCATGGATGGGCTGGGCAGATTAGCTTTTGGTAATTATGTTGGCCCATGTGAGTACGTCTGCAGGCGTACGCAGGAGGCACGGCACCCTTGCCGTGCTAAGAGGCATGGTAGAGGATCCGCGTCCCATACGAAGACGGATCTCGGTTTTTTAGTCCCTCCCAAAATAAGGTTTGGTTTCGGTGATAATCAAATTAATTAAAATTGACGCAAACTTTTTAACAACACATCATATTTTACATATTTTAATTTTCAGTTCAAGGATAGTGAAAGATTGAAATATATTTCATTGTTGTACACTAGCAAAAGAGCCCACTTATTAATTTTTTCTGAATGTTGCTTATTCTTAAGCTTGCCCCTCTCCTTTGTTTATCCATCAGATTCATGCTTGATCCTCCACTTATTAATTTAAAAAAAGCTTGTTCTTCCACAACTTCGTCACATATTTAAATTGATGAGATTCAGTGTTAGAAAGCAATGTGGGACTATTTTTCAATAGGTAAATTAACATGAAAAGGCTGACTAGGAGCCCACTCGGGCCTTGGCAGAACTACATGGATGGGCCGACCCTAATATAGCAATAAGTAAATTAACATGAAAAGGCTCACTAGGAGACTACTTGGGCCTTGGCAGAACTGCATGGATGGGCTCACCCTAATATAGCACTTGTATAGCTTTTTTTCGGCCTGACTAACCTCTCGCGTGAAATAAAAGCATAACCTCGTACGCCGGCCCATCTAACCCTTAAAGCCCAGCTCGACTACTCTAACCCTAGCCCGATCCCCTTAGTCTCCCGATCCTCATCTTCTTCCAGCGTCATCGTGTGCAAAGGCGCACTTTTTCTAGCCCTGAAAAAGGCACATTTTTTCTCCAGAAAATGCATAGGTGCACAGAGGCGGTGACCAGCGCCCCTTGATCCCGCTTGCACCCCCGTTCGCCATTTCGACGAGGCTGCTGCCACTCCGACCACCACTCTCATCCGCCAACTGCCTTCTTCCTTCCATGCTCCCCCTCCTCTCGTTTTCTACCGCCGATCTGCAAACTCTAGCCGCCGCCGCGGATCCAGCTGCCCCGCGGTTCTGCATCGAGCAGTCGTGCGCCCCCCTTGACCCTGCTCCACCTCGCCACGCGGCATAAACCATCTCCGCCACTGGTAAGGGGTGTCGCCCCTCACCCGAGCACACACCCCGGCGTGGCGTCCTCCATCCTCCCGCGCGAGGCACGGCGGCCGCCGGGTGCCATGGGTAAGAGGAGAGGAAGACGCTTTTTCTAAATAAAGGTGATAAAGGCAAAGGTGTCCCGTTTTTTGATGAGATGGTGATTATCGTTTCAGAGGAGTAGAGTTCGACGATCCGACTACGTACGTACGAGGACGTCGCGCCTTAGCAATCGCTAAACCAACTCCGAGAGGTTATTGACCACGCCGGAGCACGATCAACCTGACCACGAAGGTCTATTTTCTGCAAGCAAACGAAGAACAAGCAAAAACTAAGATTGCAATTCGGATACTGCGAGTATAAGATGAAAGCTTCATTGATCTAAGTGGGGTTCTATGACGTCTTTGTCTGGTCGTTGAACACGAACAAAGTACGCGAAGTTGCAACTATGGCGAACTTTTAATCTAAACAAAACACAAAGTCTAAGTGACGCCCTAAGGGTTGTATATATGGAGGAAGAGGGGGGAATTTCGTGGCCCTCGGGGGAGGGGTCCGAAACCAATCCTATCTCTTGTTTCCCCCCACACACGGACTCTAAAAATAGGCTATACTTATGTATTTCGAAATTACATGGGCCTGGCCCGATAATAAGGTGACGCAGCACCTATAATAGCCTCTGGAGGAAATTTGTGAAGTGGCATCTTGTATATTTCATCCAAGACTTCATGCACTCATTACGGTGGTTTCAAAGTACTAAAATAATCACTTGAAACTCCATTCTTGTTTCCCTTGCGCATGTCGTCATCTTCATGCTTGTTCTTGCTCCAATATTCATCCTTCTCCAAGCTAGGCCCTTCATTTGTAAGCAAAACAAATGTATCCAATTTAGGCAGCATCATATTCTCATGAACATTAGAATCATTACCAAGAAACAAAAGTACTGGTAATTTAATTGGCGTGCACGAGCTCTAGTAATTGGTCCAGTATGTATAGCAGCAAGGGTTGTGGGTGTAACAATGGTATTGATGTCCTCATCATCCTCCCCTTCTTGAAATGAAGTCGTCCTTGACGGAAGCTCATCTTCCTCACCCAAATAAGGCTTCAAATCTGCAATGTTAAAAGTGGGACTAACCCTAAAATCTGCAGGCAGCTCAAGTTTATATGCATTATCATTTATTTTCTCTAACACCTTAAAAGGACCATCAACACGTGGCATTAGCTTTGATTTGTGCAAATCAGGAAAACTATCCTTACACAAATGTAACCAAACAAGATCTCTAGGTGCAAACACAACATGTTTTCTACCCTTATCTCCAACAAGTTTATATTTAGCATTCATACGCTCAATGTTTTCCTTAGTTAACTCATGCATTTTTAAAATCAATTCAGCATGTTGTTTAGCATCAAAATTAACCTTCTCTGAAGATGGAAGAGGCAACAAATCAATATGATAGAGGCAAAGGTGTCCCGTCTTTCGATGAGATGGTGTTTATCGTTTCGGAGGAGTAGACTTTGACGATCCAACTACGTACGTGCGAGGACATCGTGCCTTAGCAATCGCTAAACCAACTCCAAGAGGTTATTGACCATGCCGGAGCACGATCAACCTGACCACGAGGGTCTATTTCCTGCGAGCAAATGAAGAACAAGCAAGAAACTGAGATTGCAATCTGAATATTGCAAATATAAGAGGAAGGCTTTATTAATGAAGGTGGGGTTATGTGACGTCTTGGTCTGGTCGTTGAACACAAACGAAGTACGCGAAGTTGCAGCTATGGCGAACTTTTAATCTAAACAAAACCAAAGTCTAAACGGTGCCCTAAGGGTTGTATATATGGAGGAAGAGGGGGGAATTTCGTGGCCCTTGGTGGAGGGGTCCGAAACCAACCCTATCTCTTGTTTCCCCACACATAGGGACTCTAAAAATAGCCTATACTTATGTATTTCGAAATTACATGGGCCTAGCCCAATAATAAGGTGACGCGGCACCTAGAATATGTTGGGGAACGTAGCAGAAATTCAAAATTTTCTACGCATCACCAAGATCAATCTATGGAGAGACTAGCAACGAGAGAGAGAGAGGGAGTGCATCTTCATACCCTTGAAGATCGCTAAGCGGAAGCGTTACAAGAACGCCGTCGGTGGAGTCGTTCACGAAGCGATTCAGATCGCGGTCGAATCCGATCTAAGCACCGAACAACGGTGCCTCCGGGTTCAACACACGTACAACCCGGGGACGTCTCCTCCTTCTTGATCCAGCAAGGGGAGAGGAGAAGTTGAGGGAGAACTCCGACAGCACGACGGCATGGTGGTGATGGAGCTCGTGGTTCTCTGGCAGGGCTTCGCCAAGCACTACGGAGGAGGTGTTGGAGGAGGGAGAGTGTTGTGCCAGGGGAAGGGTGCCGTGCCCTCTCTTTACC